ATGTTTGCTAAAGTAAAAACCAAATTTCTAAACAATGTTAATTTTCTTATTATGATCATTTATTCAAACTGATCTAGATCTGGATCTACTAGATCTCAGTGGTTTCCGCTATTTAGTTGTGTTGTATCATTTGAGAATCCAAGTTTTGTGGCTAGTGTCCACTGTTCACCCACTGTGCTTTTCTGGCGTGTTGATACAATGTCTGGACCGAAAAGGCTATTCCCAAACGTCAGTTGAGCTAATTAAGTTCAAAGAGGGCAGTTTAGCTGGACCTGACAAGTCACATATTAAGATGACCCATTAGAACAAAATGATTATTTTATTTCGAGAAAAAGATGTTACTTAATGAACTGAACGTAACAGCACCACACTCTGACTAATTCCGGTTTATTATGATGCCCATCATTTGACTCAATTTGGTAAAGGCAACGTAGAAAGAATTGCACGTACTCTCGACTATAGACTATTATATAGGGGATAGCGAGACTGGGAGACTAGTGTTTGGTACTTCATTTGGGTGCCCAGGGGGAGCGCGCGAAGTTTTTAATGAGTGCAAAGAGAGGATGCCACGACATTGCACACTCTAGGAACTAGGAATATAGTGATTCAAGTCTATATTATATTGCTTACAGAAGGTTAGAAGGCGAATATAGTGTGCGGAGTAATTAATGCAGATTTGCTTATATTTCACATGTTGATGTTGTTGGGGGGTTTTTGTAAGAATTTTACGGCACTTGCAACAAAATAAGGTCATATAAGTGCCGAAGATAAGAGGTGTTACAAGAGAGTAATAAACACAAAAAGAAGGAGGTGAGATAAGGACAACAGATGTTTGATAGGAAAGAAGGAGCAAACCACACCACAGCAACCGCCAACCACCCGCTATTTCACGTATGAAATATCAGCATAGGCCTATATTTCACACGGATTTATTTTACCGGAAGTGCAATGCTAAAACAACTCCCTGAATAGTATAAAATATGTATGTTTATTTTTGTATCAAAGTGTTTGTGTTTGTATGCGTTTGGTAAATGTGTGTCGGCTTGAGTGATAACAAGGTTGCAGCATACGTCTGGCCCCTGGTATTGTGAACTCTGTAACATTGATTAGTAAACTGTAAATAGTCACAGAGAGGATGATTGGCGGGTGCTTTGGTGTTGTTTGCTCCCTCTTTCCTATCAAACATCTATCGTCCTGAGTTCTCCTCCCTTTTTTTTCGTCTTTTGGTTTGTTTGTCTTTGTTTTGTTTTTGTTTGTTTTTGGGGGGTTTTTGTTTGTTTGCTTTTGTTTGTTGTTGTTTTGTTTTTGTTTTTGCTTTTTGTTCTTTGCATTGTTTTGTTACCGTACTCTTTTCTTGTAAAACGTCTAATCTTCGGCATTTATTTGACCTTACTGGTTGGAGGGTGCCACTTTCCTTCTGTTGCATTTGTCTTTATATCTTACTTTTAATCAGCACTTAATGAGCATTACTGTGTCCATGTGCTTCTCTTTACTCAAACAAACAAAACAAACAAGGTTGATGCTATAATTACCATGATTGCAGTCATTATCACCATTATACCCCTATTGCCACCCTGGAATTACAAAGTTCTATCAGCTCAGTATTTGGCTTTGATAAATTTGACGTTAAAAATGTTGAGCTTCACAACATGTCAAACTTTTTCAAATGCAATTCTTTGAATGTCTTGATAACGATTCCGGATAACCGTACGATTTTGATAGAGCTGATGGAAGATTAAGCTTTTGTTGACCTCAAGGTCTTTATAGCTCAAAACGACTTAAACTGTCAGATAGAACTTCGTAACTTTAAGATAGCAATATGCTTCTCTTCATCCTAACAAATCCCCCCCCTCCCCCACACACACACATAGGCCAGCTCCCATGAGGCCAGCTCCCATGAGGCCACGTCCAGGACAGAAGGGAAAGCGTCTGGAAAGTGGTGACGATTTCCGGGTATGCGTGCAACTCTTTAGACAAATAAAACGTGTAATGATTGTCGATGTTTTAGCCACCTCTCTCTCTCTCTCTCTCTCTCTCTCTCTCTCTCTCTCTCT